TCCCATTTTTTTTTTAAAGATTTATTTGAGAGAGAGCAGAGTGAGAAAGAGCACATGAGCATGAGCGGGGGAAGGGGCACAGGGAAAGGCAGACTCCCCACTCAGTGGGGAGCCCAACATGGGGCTCAGTCCCAGGACCCCAAGATCATGACCTGAGCTGAAGGCAGCCCCTTAATCCACTGAGCCACCCAGGTGCCCCCTGACTCCCATTTAAATGATATATCTGAGTAATTAAATTCATTTTGAATTCCTCTTTATTATAACTCCCTATAATTTTTTATTGTTTGTACGTGTTAATTTCACACACACACACACACACACAGTTTATCGTTTTCCTTATTTTTTCAATATGTATATTTTTGTTTAGAAAATTTTGAGATTTGTGTGCATATACATACAATAAATGGTATTTCCTCTTTCTCCTGTTTCCACTGCCCATCCTCTATAATGCAAGAGTTAAGTTCTGTCATCATTTGTTGGGCAATGTCAGAAATATTTTTTGTTAGCATATAATCGCAGTACCGAATCTGAAATTTACCAAACGTCTGATGCTCCCTAAGTCTAGTTCCAATTAATAGTTGTTATTCAATAGTTTATTGACTATTAATCTAAACAAGTAAAATACTACTATGGATTTGAAGTAAATGATTCTATGATGAATCCTAATTTGAATTCTCTGACAGCATCTAAATTTTAAGTGGTAAAATTTTAGGTGGTTTAGGTGCTGTTAACTTAAATGTGGCTAACGAAACTATGTTGTTTGTTTGTTTTTTAACATAACCATGACAGATACCTCACCAAAGATGATATATGGATGGCAAACAAGCATATGAAAAGATGCTCAACATCATTTGTTATTAGGAATTTCAAAATAAAACAATGAGTGCTCGCTTCAGCAGCACATATACTAAAATTGGAATGATACAGAGAAGATTAGCATGGCCCCTGCGCAAGGATGACATGCAAATTCGTGAAGCGTTCCATATTTTTAAAGAAAAAAAATAAAAAAAAAAAAACAATGAGATATCACTACATACCTATTAGATGTGGCCAAAATCCAGAATACTGATATGACAAAGCTGGAAAGGATATGGAGCAACAGAAACTCTCATTCATTGCTGGTAGGAATGCAAAATGGTACAGCCATTTTGGATAACAGTTTGGTGGTTTCCTACAAAACTAATCATATTCTTATCATACAATCTGGCATTGTGCCCCTTGGTATTTACTTAAAGCAGTTAAAACCTGACAATAGATATTTATAGCTCCTGTATTCATAATTCCCAAAACTAGGAAGCAACCAAGATGTTCAATAGGTAAATGGATAAACAAACTATGGTCCATCCAGATAATGGGATATTATTTGATAAGAAGTTATCAAACCATGAAAAGGCATGGAGGAAACCTGAATACATATTACTAAGTGAAAGAAGTCAATCCTAAAAGAGTATATACTTTATGACTACAAGTATAGGCCATTCTGGAAAAGGTAGAACTATGGAGACAGTAAAAGGATAGGTGTTTGCTAGGAGCTGGGGTTGGGAGAGAGCTGAATGGGCAGAGCACAGATTTGGGGGGCAGTAAAACTAAGTATGATACTGTGATGGTGGATACAGCTGATTACACACTAGCCAAAACCCACAGAATGCACAAGACCAGGAGTGAACCCCAATGTTAACTGTGGACTTTGGGTGACGTGTCAGTGCAGATTTGTTGATTTTAACAAAATATACCACTAATGTAAGATGTGGAGAGGAGGGGGGTTTCCGTTTATGTTGGGGGGAAGGGGTATATGGAAACCTCTGTAGCTTCCACGCAATTTTGCTGTGAATCTAAAACTGCCCTTAAAGTCTGATGTAAAAAATTATAATCTGGATTTGATGACCTACTTAACAAAGTAAAAAAATGATCATAAATACAAAATAATGGCCAGCTTAGTTGGGTCTTCTCTTCTTCAGCATGCAAGCCCTACCTACATGGCTGACTTTACTCTTTCTACTGCCCTCTCCTCCCGATGGGGATGGCATCTAAATTATTGATCCTTGCTTAGGAAAAATGATGAGAAAAATGATGAGAGTAATAGAGACTTCAATGTAACACTCTCTTAAAATTGAAGGCTAAACAATGCAACATAAAGAATGGTGCCCTCCGGTGCCTGGGTGGCTCAGTTGGTTGGGCGACTGCCTTCGGCTCAGGTCATGATCCTGGAGTCCTGGGATTGAGTTCCGCATCGGGCTCACGGCTCCATGGGGGGTATTCCTCTCCCTCTGACCTCCCCTCTCATGCTCTCTCATTCTGTCTCTCTCTCTCTCAAATAAATAAAATCTTTTTTAAAAAAATGGTGCCCTAGAAAATAAAAGAATCATTTTAGCAAATAGAGGAAAAATATTTATCTGAATTTGTTAATTACTGAAATAATGACTTTTCAGTAACTTCAAATTTTCAGACAACTACAAAAGAGAAAGAGTTAATAAATGAATCATGTGGACCCGTAACAGAGCTTCACAGGACCTACCCACTGCCAAACTCATTTCATGTATAAACCCACCCAAGTTCTCTCCAAAGCCAATTCATGTTAAGGATAATTTAAGAAGCCATATAACTGTGCCTCTAAACACTTCCATGAATGTTCATGAAATAATATTTTTTATAAAATAGTATTTTATTTAACATACAGTATTCTTATCACATATAAATTATAGCTGCTTAAAGTCATCAAATACCAAATCAGTACTCAAATTCTGATACGCTAATTAAATATTCAGAGTTGTTCGTTGGAATCAGCAAATATTTTTCTGACCATTACATCATATTTATATTCTCTAGACTTTATTATATTCTACAGATATCCTGTTCCTTTTATCTTATTACATTTTATGAAGATTCATATATCTTACAGAATTTCACATATATTAATTTGGCTTCCTTGTAATATAATCCTCAATGCCCCATTGTTCCTTCGGACAGTCCCTTAATCAATGGGTGGGATCAAAATTAGATTTGGTATTTGGGTAGAATTATTCATATGGAGCCATTGCTAACTTTTTCTTTCTATTTTTTTTTTTTAAAGATTTTATTTATTTAAAAAAAAAAAAAAAGATTTTATTTATTTGACAGACAGAGATCACAAGTAGGCAGAGGGGCAGGCAGAGAGAGAGAGGAGAAAGCAGGATCCCCAAGGAGCAGAAAGCTTGATGTGGGGCTTGATCCCAGGACCCTGGGATCATGACCTGAGCCGAAGGCAGAGGCTTTAACCCACTGAGCCACCCAGGCGCCCCCTGCTACTTTTTTCTATAGGACATTCCAAAAAAACACAGTATCTCCTTATCTCTATTTTTGTCAAGTTAACATCAATATATTCAGTAGGTTCTTGGAGTATCAGCCAGTCAACCCATAATGACACTGAAGAGAAACAAAAAAAATAAATTTCCTTCCATTCTGAGAAAAATAAAGCTACCTGCACAAAATACTGTGACACCTTCTTCCTCTTCTTTTTCACCCAACAGTATGTTCTGGAGTCGCAGTCATTGAGAGAACTCCCTCATCGCCTCCACACCACCTAGCGCTCTGCCTTGGAGTGCTTCATGATTTAGTCAGTCTTCAACTGACAGACACCACATAGGCTTCAATCTTTGTGTTATTAAAAAAAACTCCAAAAAATAAATTCATGTGTACGAAAGACCTGATGTTAATGTTTCTATTAAATTGAGTTGAAAAAGTGGGTTATGTGAAAAATCACGTCTGAGTATAATAATAAGCCAATTTTATTTTATTTAATCAATATCTTTTATATATATACATATTTTAAGTAAGCTGTACACCAACCTGGGGCTCAAATTCATGACCCTGAGACCGAGAGTTCCATGCTCCACTGGCTGAGCCAGCCAGGTGCCCCAAGCCAATTTTATTTTAAAGTTTGCATATTTCTCTGATTTAAGAAAAATCAACACCCCCCCCCCATGTCCTCTAAATTGATGTAATTGCTTCTAACTTAAATTTGGATGTTATCTTTCTCAGCCATACTGGATCTGGGATCCTTGGAAACACTTTACTCATTTATCTTTATAATTTTACTTTGCTCACTGAATAGAAGGGGCTATTCCGTAGAGCTTCTCTCTGATGAGATTTGTCAGCGAATGGCAGCTTCTGAATGGAATTTATTTTCTGGAATGATGTCGGATATTAACTTGTCTTTATTTTCACAGAAAGGGCAGAAGGTTTTTCTTAGCATTACCTGCTTTCTGAGTGGTTTTCAGAACCTTAAGCTTTGCCACAATACTTTGCAGTGGATGGAACTTAGAATGATGTTCCCACAGTGTCACTGGCTTCTGTGGTTTCCTCTCATGCACCCTGCATCTCCCTTAAACAAATTTACGGCTATGAAAGCAAATGGCTCCAAAATAAACAACAACAAAAAAAAACTAGTGAAAAAATACACAGTACAGGGGTGCCTGGGTGGCTCAGTGGGCTAAAGCCTCTACCTTTGGCTAAGGTCATGATCTCAGGGTCCTGGGATCAAGCCCCGCATCAGGCTCCCTGCTCAGTGGGAAGCCGGCTTCCCTCTCTCTCTGCGGCCTCTCTTGCCTACTTGTGATCTCTGTCAAATAAATAAATAAAATCTTAAAAAAAAAATACATAGTACATTTCACTGGATATTCCAGAAGTATTATCTCACTGCATGTATGCATGCTGTCCTCCACTGACATTAGGTGCTCTGGCCTCATCTACCAAGTGGCACCACATCCTTGTTCTGCTCAAGCACAAAGCAGCAAATCCAACACATTCATAGTCATGGCCTTTCCCCCAGACCTTTCTGTGAAACCAAAGCCCCAAGCTCCATTCTCATCTTTTTTTTTTTTTTTTTAAGATTTTATTTATTTTTTTGACAGACAGAGATCACAAGTAGGCAGAGAGGCAGGCAGAGAGAGATGAAGAAGTAGGTTCCCTGCTAAGCAGAGAGCCCGATGGGGGAATAGATCCCAGGACCCTGGGATCATGACCTGAGCTGAAGGCAGAGGCTTTAACCCACTGAGCCACCCAGGAGCCCTCCATTCTCATCTTGATGGGACAAAAGCCAATTTCATCCTGATGAGTATGTTGGTGTCCTTTTACTTTCTTCCATTTTGTCTTTTTGAAGAACCCTATTATGATCCATCAATATGGTCTGATGGACACCTCTACACCGGTCTCTTCAGGCTCCCTGGTATTCATCCCTTCATCTCCTTGACGGTGACATGTGGGTCTCTCAGTTCTGCTTCACCTGCTGGGCAAGAAAAACAAATGTTCCAAGTACAGTCTCTAGGGTTTTAGTTCCCTCTAGAACATCCTGCTATTTATTTAATCAACCTTACACATTTGCAGGCTCACATTTCACATCATTTAGTCTTCCATGATATTTTGATTCAAAATTCAGTAACAGTGATAGGAAATCTGCTTCTCCTGCTTATAGCGTAGACAGCTATAAGCTATATCTTGAAAGGTCACACTGCCCTGCTATGATGATGACGCATGAAACCACAAACAGTCTACTTCCGAGGAGCCACAGTCCCTTTCCCCACACATCTACCCTATAACCATCTGTCTCCCAAGCCTCCCAACTTAGAGGAGACATCAAGCCCTGGTACCATCAGTGCTGTTGTCGCCTCATGGTCCCACTGACCACTGGGTTCAACCACCAGCAACAGACAGGTGGACAAATGCCTATGTAAGCTGTGGGGCCAGCGACCGGGATCCACCACCTCCTGAGAAGAGACTACCCGGTAGGGTCGTTGCCTTGTGATTATCAATGCAGGGCCCTGGGGCCGTCTGACAAAGCTCCCTCTCCAAGCACACACCATTCTTTGGACTGTGCTTCCCGCCGTCTCCACATCCCACAGCTCCGTGACCATGGCTGCCACCACCTCACTGCCCTGCTCCTCACACATCTGCCTGACCTACCCAGATGTTACTGCTTCCTCTTAGTCCTACTCTTAGATTATGGTAATGGCCAAATACACAACGTGAAACTGGACAGATGAGCCTGATAGCACTTTATTTATCCCATAAATTCACACCTCTGAGAACAGGATACCACTCACCATATAAAGGCCCACATGGGAGCTGCATCTGAAAAAGAGTGAACGAACCGGGGCTGTGAGAAGTTATCCTTGTAGAATGAAAAGGTTGGGAGCACTCTGAATCCCACAGGAGGATGGGACTGGCTTGTTTAAGCCTGTGGGCTGGTAGGGACTGAACCTGCTACAAAGAGATGAGCAGGAACTGTGCCACGTTCCCTTTGTGAAAAGGGTTGTTGGGCTAGAAGCTATTATCCCACGAAGCAGTGTGGGGAGGAGAACTTGAATTCAGGCCATTTGAGCACTTGGTCTCACCAAATGTCAAGAAAGAAAGTGCATTATATAGAGTTTAGGCCTTCTGCCACAATTTGGCAGATAGCATCTACAGTATTCTTGGCAATACTCACACACGATCCCATAAGACCACCAACTTCCCACGGGTCCCCATAGCAGTATTACTCCAAATCATTTTACGAAGACCTCACCCTGTGGCTCTGATCCTTGCCTCAGACTCAGACACACAGAGCCACATGTGGATCTCAGATAGCCAGAGTTCCATTCTATTTCCTTGATGTACTTGCTGTCACCCAAGCAAATAAAAAATTTCTCTTTCCCCCTGTCATTCCAAGACCACCCCCATGAATTGCCCATCCCAGGCCTAGTGATTCTCACAGATAATCCTATTTTCCCCTGACCAGGCTGAATGAAACACTTCACACCCCACCAAAGTCCTCAAAAAATCTTGCTAAGTCTAAAAAGTGGCTCTAAGTACCAGCTCTGGCCTGAGTGTCATCTTTCATCCATTACCCCTTGTCTCTGCATCCGTCGGAAAGCCACTCTTCCCTGGGAAGCTTTGGCTACCTACCAGACTATATCCTGCCTGATACACCAAATCTTTAGGTCCACTTACCTACATTTATGAAGCCTAATACCATCACCAGGTATCCAAGCAAGAGATCCAGTCCTGGGTCCCCATTCTCCACACCTGGCCTCCAAAGAGCTTTGCCACCACAACCTCAAGCTTGCCTCAATGTGACCCACAGCTTACTCATCGTGGTCCACACCGTAGCTACCACATCGTCCATGTCTCTAACCTGAATCCCTCCCCAGACTTCCTGACCTGTGTGTTAGTTGCTCATTTGAGCAACCACTCCAGTCAATGATTTGTAAAAAACCTCAGACTCTTGAAATGGCCAGAACAAAGCTCCTGATATCCTCAGTGAACACCAACTTGCTCGTGTGAATTTCCCACCAGCTCAAGGCCAAGACTTGACCTTTCCTTCTCACCTGCTTGTATCTACCAACCTTTGTCCCACCATTTTTCCTCATATTCCTCTTTTCTGTTTATCTCCTAACTCCGGCAAAAGACCCAAGGGGTGTAGCATCCCAGCATGGAAACCAAAACTACCCTTCAAGCAGCAACAAAACCACCCAGACCAGTCTGAGCTTAACCCCAGACACAGGGACTCACGCCTGTGCAGACCGGCCAGGGAGTGACTGACAGTTACCTTTACCTCAAAAGCTATAAATCACAAAGCTATAAATCACTCCCAGAGGTGGAGACAACTGCAAATAAAATACCCAATGTGTGAAGAAGCTCGTTCTGTCAACCACGTGCCCAGCTCCTTGTGTGTCCTCAGTCCCACATGCTTAGACATCACTCTTCCTCCACTCTAGGTCCTTTATAACCTTCCCCGGCTATTGTCTAGAGAGCCAGTCTGACACCTTTGTTGTGACTGTGTCTCCAATAAAGCCTTGTCTGCTTTTAAATTCGAAGTCCAGCCTCGCCTCTACTGTTGCTGTGTCCGCGGACCGGATTCTAGTAACACAATGATGCAGCTCCCATTCCTTAGACCAAAAGCTCTGAGATCATCACTGATCATCTCTTTCGTTCCCTCACTGTGCACATCAGAAAGTCTAGTTGCCCCTCTTAAGACACACAGCCAGAATCCAACCATTTCCCAGGCAACAGCCCTGGTCCCTGCACCCTCACCGGGACTAGAGCAGAAGCCTGACGATGACTGTCACTCGTTAGGACCCAATCAAGCCCACAGTCTGTTTTCCACTGTGAAGCCAGATGAAGCCTCCCAAGACCTGGGGATTGAAATCTTTTATTACTTCTAGAATACACACCCAACATCTCTGGCAGTCACTTGACAAGACACCTATTCATTTGCTATTTACTCCTACCTGAAAGGAAGGAGACCTGTGTTTTCTGAACATTCCTGACCTCAGTTTTTCCTGGAAGCACTGGCACATCCTAGTACCCACTCCTGGGTTAACTTTCCACACCTGTTTGCAGACGGTTACCAGAAAGGGAATGCCTACCTGAGGAACGGCAAGGACGCTCTCCGCTGAACTGTGGACTTCCGACACAACCTGGGCTTAGGGGTTCTCCAGGTTCACCAGATTCAAGGAGGGAGGAATGGCATGAAGAGCCTCGGGACACCACAGTCAGAGGACACTGGGGTGAGGGTCTAGGCCAGTGAGGGACCAGGACACCCTCCAGTTCCCTGTGTAGGTTCCAAGCCCTTCTCCAGCCACGAGAACCTGTGCTGAAGAGGCAGGCCCTTAAGAAGTGCGTCCGTGCTGGGATTCGATGGGCTCACTGGACCCCTGCCTGGCCCAGGAGCCAGCTGACCTCAGGCTTGGTTCTACTCTGCGCCTGAGTACTCGGTTTTGCCTTTTACCAGCTGTGTGACCTTGAACAAAGACCAAACCTCTCAGGGCCTGGATGCCCTCATCACGCTTATGTCCCTCCTTTGGCCAAAAGTCCCCTTGGCGTCCAAAGTCCTCACGAAGGTACCGCACCTCGGCCCGCCAGTGCAGGCGTGGATCCGCCTGACGCTCTCTCCCCTGAGGGCAGAATCCTCCCCCCTCAGGCCCCCTGCAGCCTCCGCCCCGGCAGCCACTCAGCCCGGAGCCCGCTCCCGCACGCAGCCCGCCGGCGCTCACACACGCGCCCCCACCCACCGGCGCCTCCCTGTCCCGGACACCGGGGCCTGGGCCGCAGGGCCGCGAGCAGGCGCCCCGCGCTCGGGCCTTTGGGGTCTGGGTGGGGGACGGAGGGGAGGGCCGTGGGGACGAGAGCTTACCTCAGCTGAGTCCCTGGGCGCGGCCGCCGCCATCGGAGCCTCCCGGCGGAGCGAAGTGATGACAGCTGAGCGGCCCGGGCAGTCGCGGACACCGAGGTCTCCAGGCGGTCCTCGCAGGCGGCGAAGTCTCCGACCCCTAGACTCGCCTCCCTACAGCGAGGACAAAGCCCGCTTTCGCGCAGACACCGGCCCTCCCCGCCCCAGCCCTGCCCTGCCCTGCCCTCCGGAACCTCCCGCAAGCTGACAAAACAAGCAAGCCGCCCAAATTTTGGCAAAGGACCCGCCGCCGGAAGTCCCGCCCCGACCCTTTATGCTCAATCCCGGGGCGCCTCTTTTCTAAGCCTTCACTGGCTCAGAGACTCTGTCGTCAACGCAGGGCGTTCTGGGAAATGTAGTTCCCACAGTTCGCAAGGTCTAGGTAAGGGGGTTCCCCACCTGATTCCGGGAAAGAAGGCCAACGTTTACTGCCAGGTCCTCTGGGGAACGGAGGGCCCCTGCTCAAGGGCAGAGGGTCGGTTGCCCCTCTTTAAGGGGCCATATGCGGGTATCTGGAGGCTAGTCACCCAGGCATCCATGCCATTAATGAGAACGACAACTCTATCATAAAGAGGCCATGAGCAGCAATACGAATTTGCCCAAAACTGAGGTGCCATTTTCTGCCATACTGACAAAAATTGTAATGCGTGCAGGGCCCAAATCTACTATAAACCACTGCATAGTAACTAGAACCCCCAAATTTAGAGACAACTTAAACAATAAGGCTTTTCTTATTTTACAAACCGAAGCAACACATGGTAGGCAGTTCTCAGGTGGGAGACCTGGGAGCTAGGAAAGTATCACAAGCACCAAGTGAGACAAACGTGCCTGGGAAAAAGTGGTTCTTGTCAAGTTGTCGGTAGAACTCGTTTGGTTTCCTCTGGGCCAAACCTGTGTGAGGTCTTTGCCAACTGTTCAGAGAGAAGGGAATGTGGACCTCCCAAAGACTCAGGTTACTCCTAATTTGCTGCAATACGTCCCAGAACAGATGTCAGCTTCCTGGAGCTCGCTCTGGTGGTGACTGATGCACACTGTGGGGACCTGCCATGTGGTAGAGATGGAGGGGCTTTGGCCACAGAAACTGGCAGGGACATAAATCTGGAAAGAGCACTGGGCAAGTTAGAAAGTGCAACATAGCCACACACACTTCCTGCATAAATGAAATATATGGGGAATCTTCCCACTATGGAGGTTTAGATGTATGAGATTCAAAGCAGGCAGATGGCTACTCAGAGAGGCTTTGATCCATTTTTGTTACCCTGAACAAGGAGATTGCATGTTCCCTCCACAACTAAGGTCCTTCTCCAGTGTGAACTCTCCATTGATAATTGAAGGTGGAACTATAGCTAAAATATTTAATATATTCACTACACTCTTAAGGCTTTTCTCCTGTGTAGACACCTGGTTCTGAGCAAGTGTGTCTGTGTAGCTGAAGGCTTTCTTTCATTCTCCACAGTTGGGATGGCTTTCTGCCAACCCACATGTGATGGTTTTGTTTGGCCTCCTCTTCTTGCAGAAATACCTTGGGGTGGCCAGTAAGTGCTTCCTAACCTCCCCACAGGTAAAGGGCTTCTTTAGCATCTGGAACTTGCAGCTCTTCACACATGAGGGCCCTTCCATGTTGCTTCTAAGGCTTTTCACCAATATGTTGATCCTGGTGATCCTGAGGGTTTGCACTGAAATAAAATTGTTTGGGGGGCGCCTAGGTGGCTCAGTGGGTTAAAGCCCCTGCTTTTGGCTCAGGTCATGATCCCAGGGTTCTGGGATCGAGCCCCACATCAGGCTTTCTGCTCAGCAGGGAGCCTGCTTTCTCCTCTCTCTCTGCCTGCCTCTCTGCCTACTTGTGATCTCTGCCAAATAAATAAATAAAATCTTCCAAAAAAAATGTTTGGTACATGCTGCTCTCTGATATACAATTTCTGTCCATGATGTTTTCCAGGGCGCTCAGCCAACTGTAAGATGTGCTTCAAGATATGGATACATGTATCACAAGGGTGGATTTTTTGGAGGAAGTGACCTGCCTTGGGAGTCCTGATCTGTGCTATTCTTAAATACTGTTCAGAAGGTACCTCTGTTCTCTGCTCCACACCAATAACCTGAAAGCAAAGAAGTGACAGTGCAGCATGTGTTGATGTTACTGGAGGAATGTGTCCACACTGATTCATTGAATTACAACAAGTGAATTACTCAACGGAAAGGCAACCAGAAATAAATCCGGGGGATGCTTTTCAAGAAACAGGAGTAAGGTTCTGGTTGCAGAAGTGGCTACCGTGCATTACTGGACCCATAAGGGCACATATTGGTAGCAGCCTCCCCAGGAAGACACAAGGGCAGGGCGTGTGCCATAGGGAAGCAAGGCAAATGTACAACTTCTTCTTCCACCAAGGCCTCTCAGCAGGAACTTGTCTGCTGGTGACTTTTAAGGCTATGCAGAAGTGTGTGAAAGCCCAGGACAATCCAACTGCAACAAACAAGTGGGAGTTCAACGCCAATGTCAGGCTATGTGTACACTTCAGGACACAACGTATGCAGGTCAATGTTGCAGACTGCTTCAGAAGCAGCGGTGAGAGGAATGGGTAGGATGAAGAGTACCGACAAGGGAAGATTTTCCCTAGGTTTTGACAAGTCAGAAAAATATCAACAGTGGAAAGATAGTAGACGCCTGGGTGGCTTAGTCAGTTAAGTGTCTGCCTTCAGCTCCCATCATGATCCTAGGGTCCTGGGACTGAGTCCCACATCATGCTCCTTCCTCAGCAGGAAGACTGCTTCTCTCTCTGCCTGCTGCTCCCCCTGCTCCTGCTCTCTCTCTCTCTGATAAATAAATAAATAAATAAATAATAAAATCTTTGAAAGGAGAGAAAGGAAGGAAGGAAGGAAGGAAGGAAGGAAGGAAGGAAGAATGGATGGATGGATGGATGGGTGGGTGTGGCCACTGACAATGGCACCAAAACCCTGGTTGAACAAGACAGGTTGCTGGTGCGATCGAACACAGCCCTGACAACACACTCTCCCCAGCTGCCATCTACCAGGGCCAGGCTCCCTCTGACCCCACCCTGCTGTGGCTTGGGTCATGTCCAACCTGTGATGTGGAAAGAACTCTTCCCAAGGTCTTGGTTGAACAACTATGTGGGACATGGAGGTTACAAACACTGGAGGGAAAAAATGCCAGATGAGTGGCAGTACAGGGCCAGGGCAAGTCAGCATGCAACAGACCACAGAAAAGAGATTTAAACGAAGAGAAGTGAGTGGGAGGCTTGAAAAACAGCTCATGGTCCAGGTAGTAGCAGCCATGAGAATATAAGTAACCCCTGGCACCAGCCAGCACAAGGGAACGTCAGCTGAAGGAAGCAAGCAAAGTCTAAGGTGCAGCAGTGCCATGGACAGAAACGCAGTCACCGGGGGTGCCTGGGTGGCTCAGTGGGTTAAAGCCTCTGCCTTCAGCTCGGGTCATGATCCCAGGGTCCTGAGATGGAGCCCCGCATCAGGCTCTCTGCTCCACGGGGAGCCTGCTTCCTCCTCTCTCTCTCTGCCTGCCTCTCTGCCTGCTTGTGGTCTCTGTCAAATAAATAAATAAAATCTTAAAAAAAGAAAAGAAAAGAAACGCAGTCACTGGCCGGGGGGAAGGCAAGCAGGGCAAGACCCTTTGGCTCACTCGAAAACTGCTGATGCTGAATCTTTCCCTGTGAGGCTTCTGGGCAGATTTGGGGGCTGTAGAGGAGGTAGGAGGTCAGTGCAAACAGCCCAGCCCTAGCAACCACAGCACCTGCCCAGGGAACTGCAGATGGAAGCAGTGTCCATGGTCCCGCTGTGAGAAGGAAGCCCACAGCACGCTCTGGGAAAGCAGGGTCGGGGAGGGGGATGTGAAGCCTGGATCAGGGCACTGGGGAGAGCACAAGTGCCTTGCCTAGTGAGGTTTGAGGATGTAAGCGCCAAGTTCTTCTGATTCACGTGTAGTACAGGTATCCCTGAACCTCATCCAGGAGCCCCCACTCCTCCCACAAGTACACAAGCATTTCCTCAAGTCTCAGTGCCTGTCATGATAGCGACAGATGAAACCAGGAGTGCCCTCTCAGAGGCCCCACAATACAAACTTGTCTTCCTCCAGAGGTGCACAGCTCAGAGGGGATGCCAGTCCCTGGTCCCACTGATGCCCGTGCTCTCCTAATGGCCCCATTAGTACTCTGCTCAGCCTCACCACGAAAAGGCAGGTAGGCAAATGCCATCTAAGCAGTGGGTCTGGCCCTGAGAGCCCAAACCCTCTTGCCAGCAATAACCCTGGGGTCCCCAAGATCATGAATCCCAGATACCACCCAAACCCGGCTTCACAAGTTCACCTTGAGTTCCCAACAGCAAGTCCCTGGAGCCATCGGTCACACTTCCTTTCTATATGCGCATCATTCTGTGAACCATACTTCCTCATAGCTCCTGACAGCACAGTCACATGTTAACAGTCACCACCATCTCCCCCTGCCCCACTCCATAGGAGTCTCTCTGGCCTCACCTAGGGACTCAGCACAGGACATCCAGAGAGTGCTTGACAAATTCAAACAGGATCCAGCACAACCCAGACCTCCGATGGGTCCCATGGCCCAGGAAAGCCCTGAATGCTGCTTTGAAGGCCTCACAGCTTACCTCTGAACCTTTCTGCAAGGTTAACCACCCAGAACTCCATGTGAGTTTGAGACACCCGTGCTGTCTTCCACTTCCACGGTGCACTTGCTCTCCCCTCAGCAGCCATTATCCATTATTCTCTAATAAACTTTCATCAAAATCTGAGCATCACAATGGGGCGCCTGGGTGGCTCAGTGGGTTAAAGCCTCTGCCTTCGGCTCAGGTCCTGATCCCAGGGTCCTGGGATCGAGCCCCGCATCGGGATCTCTGCTCAGCAAGGAGCCTACTTCCCCCTCTCTCTGCCTGCTTCTATGCCCACTTGTGATCTGTCAAATAAATAATTAAATAAAATCTTAAAAAAAAAAATCTGAGCATCACTGATCCCCCTGCCTGCTGTAGTGACTCTCACAGATGATAACCTTTCCTCCAGACCTTATCCACCAGCAAGACTGAAAAACCCCAGACCCCACCAAAGCTCGCCCCAAAATGACGCTGATTCTGTACAGCTGTGGATAAGCAGGAGCCTCAGTGTCCTCTTGTCTCAATTACGCCCATGCCTCCACAGCCATCTCACGTCCACTCACCCCACAGAAGCCTTGATCACCTGCCAGATAATCCTCCCTTCATCTTTGTGTCCCCACCACCCACAACCATGTGCCTCAGCAACAGACTCAGCTCTCTTCAGCATCTCTCTAACCTATTAAGAGCATCAACACCATACCATGAATTCCCAACTTCACCATCCTAGTTGATGGAGCTTCAGCTGCTAGGTCCAAAATGCCTGGGGTCCCTTCTGACGACTCCTTTCTCTCCCTCACCTATAATATCCAAAACTCTACTTGGCTCTTCTTTAAAAATGGACCCAGAATCCAGTCACTTCTCTCCCTTCTACAGCCACCATCGAGTTCAACAACCAGTTCACCTGGGCTGTTGCAGTAGCCTGCTTCCGGTCCCCGCCTCCAATCTCTTTTCTTTTCTTTTCTTTTTTTTTAAAGATTTTATTTATTTATTTGACAGAGAGAGACACAGAAGAGAGAGAACACAAGCAGAGGGAGTCGGAGAGGGAGAAGCAGGCTTCCCACCAAGCAGGGAGCCCGATGCAGGCATTGATCCCAGGACCCTGGGATCATGACCCGAGCCTAAGGCAGAGGCTTTAACCCACTGAGCCACCCAGACGAACCCACTCCCCCCCACCCCGCCCAACTCCTCTCTTAACCCAATACATAATCTGCCACTGTGCAGGGTGCCACTCAGACCCTGTTACTTTATCACAGGTGGAACCTACAACACATCTGAGGAAAAGAAAAGTGATTCTGAGAGTTTCAAAAGCCAGTCCTTCAGGGACGCCAGGGTGGCTCAGACGGTTAAGCGTCTGCCTTTGACTCAGGTCATGATCCCAGGGTCCTGGAATGGAGTCCCACATCATGCTCCCTGCTCAGCGGGGAGCCTGCTTCTCCCTCTTTGCCCATCCCCACCCACTCTCTCTTTCAAATAAATAAAATCTTTTTTTTTAAAGGTTTTATTTATTAGAGAGAAACACAGCAAGAGAGGGAACACAAGTAGAGGGAATGGGAGGAGAAGCAGGCCTCCCACCAAGCAGACAGCCTGATGTGGGTCTCGAACCCAGGACCCCAGGACCACGACCCGAGCCAAAGGCAGCCACTCAACAGTTGAGCCACCCAAGCATCCCTAAACAAATAAAATCTTAAAAAAGAAAAGAAAAATCAATTCTCCAAGTGGAGCTTTGTTTACACTTAGACAAACTGGAGTTTTATGGGTGTTTTTTTAGTTTTTTTTTTTTTAGTTTTATGGTTTTTAAAGATTTTTATTTTTTATTTATTTATTTGAGAGAGAGACAGTGAGAGAGAGCATGAGCAAGAAGGTCAGAGAGAGAAGCAGACTCCCCATGGAGCTGGGAGCCCGATGCAGGACTCGATCCCAGGACTCCGGGATCATGACCTGAGCCGAAGGCAGTCGTCCAACCAACTGAGCCACCCAGGCGTCCCTAGTTTTATGGTTTTTAAAAAAGATTTTAAGTTTTTAAAAAGATTTTATTTACGTAATCTCTACACCCAGTGTGGGGCTCAAACTCACAAGATCAAGAGTCACACGCTCTACCAACTGAGCCAGCCAGGCACCCTAATTTTGGATTCTAACAAACATGGTGCATAGACACAAAAAACCCTCATGTAACATATGTACTTTTGAAAAATGCAATACAGGGCGCCTGGGTGGCTCAGTGGGTTGGGGCCTCTGCCTTCAGCTCTGGTCATGGTCCTGGCGTACTGGGATCGAGCCCTGCATCGGGCTCTCTGCTCAGAGGGGAGCCTGCTTCCTCCTCTCTCTCTGCCTGTCTCTCTGCCTACTTGTGATCTCTGTCTGTCAAATAAATAAAATCTTAAAAAAAGAAAAGAAAAGAAAAGAAAAATGCAATACATGGGGCACCTGGGTGGCTCAGTGGGTTAAGCCTCTGTCTTTGGCCTGGGTCATGATCTCAGGGTCCAGGGATTGAGCCCTGCCTCAGGCTCTCTGCTCAGCAGGGAGCCTGCTTCCCCACCCCCCCATCTCTGCCTGCCTCTCTGCCTACTTGTGATCTCTGTCAAATAAATAAATAAAATCTTTTAAAAATAACTATTTGTCTTTTATTATAACAAACAAAAATAATGCTTGGTTGGGGTGCCTGGATGGCTCAGTGGGTTAAGCAACAAACTCTTGTTTTTGGCTCAGGTCATGATCTCAGGGTTCTGAGAACGAGCCCCACATCAGGCTCTCTGCTCAGCGGGGACCCTGCTTCCCTTCCTCTCTCTCTGCCTGCTTGTTATCTCTGTGTCAAATAAATAAATAAAATCTTTAAAAAAATATATTTCCCACATTCATTGCACTCATAAGCTTTTCTCCTGGGTGAACTCCCTCATGGTAAATGAATGTTGCCATCTACTTAAAAGATTTCCCACATTTGGGGTGTATTGGTGGCTCAACTGGTTAAGTGTCCAATTCTTTGTTTGGGCTCCGGTCATGATCTCATGGGTCATGGGATCAAGCTCCCATTCTAGATCCAAGCTCAGTAAGAGAAAGCATATGCCCCTCCTCTCAGTGTTCTCTCCCTCTATAAAATAAATAAATAAATCTTTTAAATATTTTATTTATTTATTTATTTGACAGACAAAGATCACAAGTAGGTAGAGAGGCAGGCAGAGAGAGAGGAGGAAGCAGGCTCCCCGCTGAGCAGAGAGCCTGATGTGGGGCTCGATCCCAGGACTCTGGGATCATGACCTGAGCCAAAGGCAGAGGCTTTAACCCACTGAGCCACCAAGGCGCCCCTAAATAAATCTTTTAAAAAATAACACATTTCCTACAATCATTACACTTAAAAGGTCATTCTCCTCAGTGAAACTTTAGGTGTATACTGGGGTTGTTTCTCTGGCAAAGGGACCTTCCACAGTCACTGCACACATAAGGCCTTTATTCAGTGTAAATTCTAGTGAGAAAGGAAGTCAGTCCTGGTGATAAAAGATTTCCAACATTCACTGCACACATAAGGTATTTCCCCTCTCTGAGATCTCCAGTGATAATGGGAGGCAGACATAGAAGTAAAAGATTTGGAACAGTCACTATACTTAGAAGGCCTTTCTCCAGGTTGAATGCTCTTAGTAATCAACACTGAGCTATGGTTAAGATATTTTGCACAGCCACTGCGAATGTAACAGTTCTCTCCATTGTGCCATCTCTGAAACTGAAAAAGGACAGAAGTATACGACAATGTCCTCAAATGTCACACCACTCTGCCGAAAAGGAAGAGAGGAAACCGTGAACATTCTCTCTCTGAGAACTTACACTTGAAAACCCTACACATCCAGCCCAGTCTTCCCTGCCAGCCCAGCTCCCCTCCTCAGATAAACACCAGGTCCTGGTGCCTCTAATGCTGCTCTGCTCTCACCTTCCCACCAATCACTGTTCAGTGCTCAGCAATAACACGCAGGGGACGCATGGAAGCAAGCTAAGCTCTGGGTTTGGCCTGCAAGTCCCATCCTCCTGCCACGATATTATCATGGAGTCTCCCAGGGCAAGCCCTCAGCACAGCCAATTATAGGCCCTGCTCTGCCAGGAAGTCTCAATACCAGGGTCCTGAGGCCCTTAGCTCACAATTCCTCTCCAGGTGTACCTGATTCCATAGACTGTACATTTCTCACATCCTCACACCCCATAGATGAATGCCCATACCTTCCTACCCCACACCAATGGATTCTCTGTTAACTCACACTTGTACCTGTCACATGACAACCAAGGGATGTGTGACAAACACAAACAGGTTCCACTACCACCCCAGTACTCCCATGGATCCCAACTGAGGGAAAGCCTCAAATGCTGCTGAGAAGCCTCCTTGCCTGTCTCTAATCCAATCCTCCCTGCAGTACGACACTCACAACCACTGTCAACCTAGGGTGCTCCTACACTGTCTTCTACTTCTCTGCTGCCCATGCTGGCCCTCGACAATCAGGAACCAACCATCCTCTACTGAACCTTTGTGAAAACCCCAGCACTAAGGATCTCCCTGCCAGGCACACAGAACCACAAATCACATTTGCCCCAGACCTTTTCTGGCACGAAGACTCAGAAACACCCCAGACACCGTAAAAACTGACCACAAAATTCTGCGGAAGCCCTAGAACACGGAAGAGAGAACAGCCCCAGTCTCACTGTCATCTTGTCTCAATTTTCAACGTCCTCAGCCATCTCTTCCAATCATCCCAAGCAACCTTGGCCATCATCGGCCAGATCTTTCTCTTTCACCCATGGTGACAATGCCCGTCAACCACCACCACATGCTGCCCAAGACAACCATTCTTCCACACAACGTAGCAGGATACTGAACCTACTAGCAGCTTTGTCATTATACTCTGTGTTCCGTTCTGAAATGTGATCCAAATCTCCACCCGGGTCCACATCACAGCCATCACTTTTCAAACCCTCCATCGGAAACTTTCCCTACTGTCCCAAGCTTTGCCGTCCAGCTCCCTAGTTATTCCATGACTCACACTTCTCTGACACATCTGAGACTGTAAAATTCAGCACATCACCAAGGTCTTTGGTTATAATGCAAATGAACACACAAGATGGAGTATTTATATATATATATATATATATATATATATATACACATATATATGTACAGTATTTATTAGCAATTTTCCTCTCAGAGACACAGCAAGTATGGGATGGAATGCGATCTGCTCATTCCTTCATGTGGGAGAGCCCGATGCTGCTTTCAAACCACCCCTTCGAGGGCACACAATGTCTAAGATCAAAGGTAATTAAACAAACATGGCACTTACTGATACATTAATCAGAGCAACATGGGGCACACAATTCCTGTGTGGTGACCTGGAAGCTGCAAATAGTCATCAAAGCATCAGACCAGCAACATCCCTGTGGGACTTAGCCTTCCTGTGCGAGTCACCACCCAGAACTCACATCGCCCACTGTGGATCAACACGGGTCACATCCATGCCCTAACTGGGAACGGAACGAGGGGTTCCAGGAACCCAGAATTTGGATGAACAGTCGAGAACGTGAACAGCTCGGCATCATTAACCATGTTGGGGTGGTGACGTATGCACACCGAGAACTGCCAGGTGCCAGACACTGCCACAGACACTGCCAGTGACTTCCATCTTGCGGTGGCTGCACCCACATCAGAAAGCACTATGCAGGTTCCGAATTTTTCTGAAAATGGCTGGATCTTATGGGAAGTCACTGCACTGGGGACATTCAGGGGAACCACAGTCAATTCAGAGGTTGTCCTCCAGCATAAACGCCACCAAGCAAGAACTATCACCTGTGCTGTTTTAGATCCTTCTGCAGTGTGAAGGCTGTAATGATGTCTCAAACCATCATGACTCATAAAAAGATTTCCCATATTCACGGCACTCTAAGGCCTTTCTCCAGTGTGACGTCTCTGGTGACGATGGAGGGCAGAACTAGCAGTAAATGATTTCCCACATTCACTACACTCATAAGGCCGTTTACCTGAGTGAACCTTTTTGTGTACACTGAGGCTATCTTTTCGGGGAAAGGATTTGCCACATTCACTGCACTCATAAGGCCTCTCACCACTGTGAACACTCTGGTGAGCACGATGTTGATTACTAGTGATAAAAGATTTCCCACATACACGGCACTCATAAGGCTTTTGTCCAGTATGAAGTCTCTGGTGATAACGGAGGGCAGAACTAGCAGTAAATGATTTCCCACATTCATGGCACTCATAAGGCCTTTCTCCAGTGTGGACTCTCTGGTGACGACGGAGGGCAGAACTAGCAATAAATGATTTCCCACATTCATTACACTCATAAGGCCGGTCACCTGAGTGAACCATTTTGTGTATACTGAGGCTACCTTTTCGGGGAAAGGATTTGCCACATTCAGGGCATTCATAAGGCCTCTCTCCACTGTGAACTCTCTGGTGAGAACGACGTTGATTACTAGTGATAAAAGATTTCCCACACTCATGGCACTCATAAGGACGTTCTCCAGTGTGAAGTCTCTGGTGATAACGGAGGGCAGAACTACTAGTAAAAGATTTCCCACATTCACGGCACTCGTAAGGACGTTCTCCAGTGTGAAGTCTCTGGTGAGAACGGAGGGTAGAACTAGCAGTGTAAGATTTCCCACATTCATAGCACTCATAACGCCTTTGCCCAGTATGAAGTCTCCGGTGAGAAGATAGGGCAGAACTAAAAGTAAAAGATTTCCCACATTCACGACACTCATAAGGCCTTTCTCCTGTGTGAAGTCTCTGGTGAGAACGGAGGGCAGAACGAGCAGTGTAAGATTTCCCACATTCACGGCACTCAAATGGCCGTTCTCCAGTATGAACTCTCTGATGATGAAGGAGGGCAGAACTAGCAGTAAAATTTTTCCCACATACACTACATTCATAAGGCCTTTCACCTGAGTGAACTTTTATGTGTACACTGAGGCTAGTTTTTCGGATAAAGGATTTGCCACATTCACTGCACGCATAAGGCCTTTCACCAGTGTGAACTCTCTGATGATAACGTAAGACAAAACTACCAGCAAAAGATTTCCCACATTCACTGCACTCATAAGGCCTAATTCCACTGTGAATTGTCTGGTGATAACGTAGTGAAGAACTACCAGCAAAAGATTTCCCACATTCATTGCATTTATAAGGCCTTTCTCCAGTGTGAACTCTCTGGTGAGAACGGAGGCCAGAACTACTGGTAACAGATTTCCCACAATCACTGCACTCATACCGTCTTTGCCCTGCATGAGATCTCTCATGATCTGAGAGAGCAGACATAGACGGAAAAGATTTTGCACAGCCATGACACTTATACAACCGATCTCCAGACTGGACACTGTGAGTGAGCAACACTGAGCTACCACTAAGAGATTGTGCACACCCGCTGCAAACATAACTCTCCCCTCCACTGTGCCATTTCTGGGGATGAAGGAAGACAGATGCAGGGCCTAAGGATTTCCCACATTTGCTGCACGTGTACTGCCTGGATCCACCCTGAGTCTTCCCATGTTCATTCAGGGTTGGTCGTTGCCCAAGGGATTTCCCACATGGAACAAACTCATGATGTCGTGCTCCAGTATGGTATCTCTGGTGTATGGCA